ATTGAGGAAGAAGAAAAGAAACGAAAGGGAAAAAACGAAAAGGATAGAAGAAGGATGTAAAAAGGAGGAGGAAAGAAGACGGAAAAAATAGAGAAGGAATAGAAAAGGAGGGAAGGAAGAAGACGAAAAAATAGAGAGAAGAGAATAGAAAAGGAGGAGGAAGAAGACGAAAACAGAAGGAATGAGAAGGAGGAGAAACGGTGTTGAGAAGGAGGAGGAGGAGGAAAGAAGACGAAGAAAGGAAATATAGAGAAGAAACAGAAGGAGAGCGGAGAAGAGGAGGAGGAGGAGAAGAAGAAGAAAAAAAGAAGACGAAGAAATAGAGAAGAAAACAGAGGGAGCGGAGGAAGGAGGAGGAAGGAGGAAGAAAAGAAGACGAAAAAATAGAGAAAGAACAGAAAGGAGCGGAGAAGGGAGGAGGGAGAGGAAGAGACGAAAATGGAGGAGGTAAAACAGCTAAAAAAAAAAAAAAAAAAAATGACACAAACTCTTGAAACCGAATTTGGATGAATTGAATCAGCCTTTGTTGTCCGATTCCGCGTATTGCTGGCACTCGGCCGCGGATTTGGCTTCAGCTTACACGGACACGCACGTGGGTGTGAGTGCCTCGCGCATATATATATGTACATGTATATATATATATATATATGCATATGTATATATATATATATATATATATATAATATATACTATATATATATTATATAATGCCTATACACACACACACATATAAGTATGTATAGTATACATATACATATATATACATAAATATATATAATATATAGTATATTAATATATATATATATAATATATATATATATATATATATATATTATATATAATATATAATATATATATATATATATATATAATATATATATATATATATATATAAACACACAAACATATATATATATATATATATAATTATATATATATATATATATATTATATATATTAATAATAAAAGTGTGTGCGGTTGTGTGTATTTATACATACATATTATATACCTATTCTCTCTCTCTCTCTTAACATATACACATAACATACGTACACATGATATCTATATATACCTGTATATATATATATATATATATATATATATATATATATATTATAATATAATATATATATATATATATATATATATATATATATATATATATATATATATATATTTATATATATATATATATATATATATATATATATAATATATATATATATATATATATATATATATATGTATGTGTGTGTGTGTGTGTGTGTGTGTGTGTGTGTGTGTGTGTGTGTGTGTGTGTGTGTGGTGTGTGGTGTGTGATGTGTGTGTATGTATCGTGTGTGTGTGTGATACAATTGACACGCACTCGAGTGTGTGTGTGTGTGTGTGTGTGTGTGCGTGTGGTTGCATAATGTATATTACTCTAGTTAGACGCCACACATGCGTATATAGATCGATATACCATGCACAGCCATGCATGCATAAGTAAACACACACACACATATATATATACACACATATAGTGTGTGTATTGTGTGTGTCTGTGTAACAAATACATACATGTGCATTGTATTATGTATTTGATATATATATAAAGAAACACACACACACACACACAACACACACACACACACACACACACACACACACACACACAACAACACACACACACACAAACACACACACACACAAACACACACACACACACACACACACACAACACACCCACACACACACACACAGTGCGCGCCCGTGTGTGTGTGTGTGTGTGTGTGCATGTATGTGTTCACCCTTCGTGTCCTTTGTGCAGCATGATGTTTTATCTTTTGTACTTCAAACTAAGCATGACACAGTTGCTAAGAAGATCCCGAACGAGAGAAAAAGACAACAACACATCCTTTCCCGCTGTCTGGCTCGTCTTCTACCCCCCCCCCCCCCGCTCTTCCCTCAATCTTCCCTCTCCCCTCAATCTCCCCCCCTCCCCCCTTCCTCTCCTCCCCTTCCCCAGATCTTCCCTCTCCCCTCTAATATCCCCCCTCTCCCTCCTTCCCTCTCACCCCTGAATTCTCCTCCCTCCCTCTCCTCCCCCTGATCTCCCCCCCTCCCCTCTTTCCCCCCTCCCCCGATAGAACAAAAATCTTCCCCCCCCCCTCCTCTTCCCCCTTTCCTAATCTCCCCCCCTCCCTCCCTCCCTTCCCTCCCTTCCTCTCCCCCCTGATCTTCCCTCTCCCTTCCCTTCCCTCCCTCCCCCCCTGTGTGAAACGGAGCCACGAATTCGGGCTGGAGCGGGCATGGGGGATTGGGTGTGTGGTGTGTGGGGGGGGGAAGGGACTAAGGGAGGGGGCCAATGGGCGAGGTGGGAGGGGAGGGGGTGAGCTGGCTGACGGCGTTTGAAACGCTCGTCGGAACGTTGTTTACCTACTGAACGTCACAGAAACTTGCGAGGCCGGAAGTTAGTAATCTGCATTGGTTGGTTCTTCCCCTCTCTCCTCGTCCCCCCTTCCCTCATTCTCTTCTCTTTCTCTCCCCTGTGGTTTCCTAATAACTTTCTCTCTTTCCCCTGTCCCTCATTCTGCTTCTCTTTCTCTCCCCTTCCCTCATTCTCTTCTCCTTCCTCTCTCCCTGCCTCTTCCCTCCCTCTCGTTATTCTCCCTCTCTCTCCCTATCCCCATTTCTCTTCTCTCTCTCCCCTTCCCCTCGTATACTCTCCTCTCTCTGGTTCCTCTCCCCCTCTCCCCCCTTCCCCCTCACTCCTCTCCCCTTCTCTCGTCCGTCTCCCCTCTCTTCTCTCCTCTATTCTCTCACCCTTTCCCCTCATCCTCTCCTCTCTCCCCTTCCCTCGTCCTTCCCCCTTCCCTCGGTCCCGTCCTCTCCCCTCTCCCCCCTTTCTCTCCCCCTCCCCCCCCTTTCTCTCGTCTCCTCTTCCCCTCTTCTCTTCTTCCCCCCATTTCTCTCTCTCTCCCCTTCTCTCGGTCCTCTCCCCTCCTTCTTCACTCCCTTCATTCTTTCCTCTTTTCTTTTCTCCTCCTCTGTCCTCTCGTATCCCTCCCTCTACCCCTTTCTCCCTATTCCCATGGCCACTTCTATCCCCCTCCCCTCATCCTCTCCCCCTTTCCCTCATCCTCTCCCCTCTTCCCCTTTCTCTTCGTCCCCTTCCCCTCTCCCCCTTCTCTCGTCCTCTCCCCTCTCTCCTTCCCTCATTCTCTTCTCTCTCTCCCCTTTCCTCGTCCTCTCTTCTCCCTTCTCTCGTCCTCTCTCCCTCTCTTCTCTCTCCTCATTCCTCTTCTCCTCTGTCCTCTCCCTTCCCTTCTCTCTCGTCCTCTCCCCTCTCTCTCCTCATTCTTCTTCTCTCTCTCCCCTCCTTTCCCCTCATCTTCTCCCCTCTCCCTCTCTCCCCTTCTCTGTCCTCTCCTCTCTTCTTATCCCTTCAATTTCTCTTCTCGTCTCCTCCCCTTCCCTCATTCCTCTCCCTTTTCCTCCCTCTATTTCTCTCTCTCTCTCTCCTCTTCCTCCCTCTATTCCCTCTTCTCCTTCTCTTTCCCCTTCCCTTTCGTCCTCTCCTCCTCGTCTCTCCCCCTCCCTCCCTCATCCTCTCCCCTCTCTCTCTTCTCTCGTTCCTCTTCCCCTCTTTCCTTCTCTCATTCCTCTTTCTCTCTTCCCCTTCCCCTCTCTTCTCTCCTTCTCTCTTCGTCCTTCCCCTATCTCTCTCTTATTCCCTCATTCTTTCCCCTTTCTCCCCTTTTTTCCCTCTATCCTCCCCTTCTCTCGTCCTCTCTCTCTTCTCCTTCCCTCATTCTCTTCTCCTCCCTCTCTCTCCCCCTTTCCCTCGTCCTCTCCCCTCTTTCCTGAACGTGGGAGGGAGGAACAGCGCCCTTTTCTCCTTAGCCAAATCTCAAAATCCTTTGTCATTACTCTTTGTCTCTCTCTCTTTCGTCTCTTTCGTTTTCTTCTCCCTTCTCTCTTCTTCTCTCTCCATGTCCATATTTCTCAGTAATATGCAATAAAAGGAAGGCATTGCTTAAAGAATATGTGGATGCGAATGGTGATAATGGTTATGATGATAGTTATGATAATGAAGGAATAATACTAGTGGTATATATATATGTTGATAAGGAGGAATTGTATTAAACTGCAACAAAAAACATCAAAACATCAATAAAATCGCTATTTATGATAATAACTGCATTACTGCTAACAAAGCTAAGAGAGGTGAGGTGAACAAACATACTAACAATACTCAGTATCACCAATAATAACAATAAATCCAAAAATCACCCACACTAACAAAATCAAGAAGTTACCCATTCACTCTATCAATTTCCCGTTTTTTTAACATTTTTTTTTTCTCAATCCTTCTGCCGCCATGAAGCCCGACGACAAACTTCAATTAGCATTCACCGCGCAGAGTGACAGCTTTACCTCTCATCCATATACATAGTCCGAAGCTGACTTCATCACCATGCTATTAATGTAATAGGACCGGCTTGTTTACAAAGGATGTCAGGGATATTTATTGATTTCTCTGAAGGTTCCATTTTCTTGAGTCTTTGTTGCTGTTGTTTTTTTAAAGCTGTTCGGATTTAAATGTTCTCTTCGGGTGATGTTGGTTGGTTGTAAAATGCATGTTGGGTTTTAGGATACGATGTTATTAGAAGGGAATGAAGGAATATAATGAATTTAGACAAAAAAAGGAGTGAAAGTGTGCAGAGAAGTTGAGTTACGGAGGACAGTGTGTCTGTATCTCTGAAGTAGGCGCGCGCGTGGCCATATATCCGTCGAAATACTTATGGGTGCCATCTACATACATACATGGATGTACACACACAAACACACATACATTCATCCCATGCATCTTACACAAGGCAAGACACAACACAACGCGCGCCACACACACACACATGAAAGTATAGCTCCGTTGACAACTCACTCCGGTCATTGTATTCACTTCAAGTCGACCCAAGGAAGGGGGAAGGCGGAGTGTGAGACGGAGACCACAATATGGACTGGTAGAGGCGAAGAGCTTAGAAGAGACACACACACCACACACATCACACTCACCTGAAACACACACAACACACCACACACTACGTACACACACACACACCACACAACACACACACACAACACACAACACCCACACAGAGGAGAAAGAGAAGGGGTGGGAGGCAGATCAACTCAACTAAAAACCAACCCGTACAGAGGAGAGAAAGAGAGAGAGAGGCATAGAAAAAGAGAGGAGGTTAGTAGAGACGAGAGAGAGAGAGAGAGAGAGAGAGAGACGAGAGAGAGCTCGAGAGAGAGAAGAGAGAGACGAGAGAAGAGAGAGAGGAGAGAGATGAGGAGAGAGCGGGCACAGGAAGACGAGAGAGATGACAGAGAGAGCACGAGAGATGATGGGAGAGAGATGAGAGATGGAGAGAGATCGAGAGACGCAACTATCACGAGGAGAGCACGAGAGAGGAAGAGAAGAGAGTTAAAGAATTCGGAGCATACAGTTTATGGAAATCCTAATTGAGAAAAGGGGGAGCAGGGTCTGAGAAAGGACGGACTAAGGAGAGAAGGAAATGCGCAAAAAAAAAAAAAAAAGAAGAGGGGAAAGAGGAGGAAGACAGGCGCGGCAACGAAAGACGAAAACAGAAGGGGGGAAGGGGAGTAAGAAACAGGAATAAAAGACTGACCAAAAAATGGGGAAAGAAAAGGAAAAATAGGAAAAAAGAGCAAGAAGAGAGGAAGAGATATATAGCGCCAGGGAAGAAGAAGCGGAGGAAACGGCTAGGGGACGGCTGAGGAGGGGACGGGGAAGTACGGTTCAAAACAACTTTCACATGCAAGTTGACGGCGAATTGGCAAGGCCAGTCAGGGACATGATACCCAAATGATACCCACGCAACGCACCCAGATATCCTTACACTGTTGCCAAGGAGCAGAATCATGAGAGATGTAATCGAAGTGGACGTCCACCAACCAAGACGTATTAATATACACTTTACGTCATGATTTCAAAAATATCAGTAAGTGTAATCAAACAATAGTGAGCTCTTCCTAGTTGATTAAGCGATAGAACTACTCTAAGAGGTCGTCTGTTTGTACTGGCTATTTAATTTATTCTATCTCGTTCCTCAGCCAATTCTTGAATTCTGATTGCACTTGCTCACGTATTCAGAAATCGCGATATCGTTAGTGGCGAGGTTATGTTATGTTCCAGTAATTTTAGGAAGAAAGTAGAAAACAGTGGGGATAATGATATGTCACCTGGTGTATCCGGATGATGTTGAATTGCGTGGATCGTTTCACTTGGTTGTTAAAAGGGCCTTGGCGACGTCGCTTGGGCGAATTGCTATGAAATGGCTCCTTGCTTTTTTTTTGGTTTTTTTTTTTTTTGTTGGTTTTGACTTTTTTTTTTGGGCTTGCTTTTTTGGCTTGGTTTTCTGGCTTGCTTTTTGGCTTGCTTTTTTTGGCTTGCTTTTGCTTGGATTTTGCTTGGCTTTGTTTGCTTTTGGCTGCTTTTTTGGCTTGCTTCTGGCTTTGCTTTTTTTGGCTTGGCTTGGTTTTTTGGCTTGTTTTGGCTGGTTTTGGCTTGCTTTTTTTGGCTTGCTTTTCCTTGCTTTTGCTTGCTTTTTTGGCTTGCTTTTGCTTGCTTTTCCTTGCTTCTGACTTGCTTTTTTGGCTTGCTTTTGCTTGCTTTTGGCTTGCTTTTGCTTGCTTTAAAGCCCTTAGAGATATGGCTTGGAGCGATTCGCTTAACGTGATGCAATGTACACAAAATAATTGCGTCAATTGCGTAAGTAACTCGGATGGTAATGACTGGAGTAAAGTCAAAACATCGCTTTGTTTTGCAAGTTAGATAAATTAACGTATAAACACACCCACGCAACGGCAGCTAACCTGAATGTGTAAGTCATTGCTGAGAACGCATATATATATTAAATTACCAAACGCATGACTTCTTAGAATTTCCACAAACCAAAATGATCCAGCGTTCTCTGTCAGACAAGGGCAGTCGCCATTGTCAAGCTGGCTTATTTATGTCAAAATCCTAATTTAGATGTAAAGAAAACGAGTTGAATACATTCAGCGAGCTCTAACACGCACACACACACGTACACGTACACACATACACATATACGTACACACATACACACACGTACACACGCACACACACACACATACACACACGTACACACACACACACGTACACACACACACACACCACACACACACACACACATACACCACACACACACACAACACACACACACACACACACACACACACACACACACACACACACACACACACACACACACAACACACACAACGTACACACACACACACACACACACACACACAGACAAGCACCACAAACATCACACAAATATGGACATGGAAGCTCAACCACAAATGTCTTCATTTAAATAGGAAAGTGACTAAGGAGGTTTTTGCATCTGTGGTAGAAAGAGAATAAAAGATAGAAATATTATCAGGGGAGAAGGAGGGAGATGGCAATAAAAGAAAACCGGAAGCGGAGAAAGTTTAGGATAAAATGAAAGAAAACGATTTTAATGATAGACTGTGAGAGAAGCTTCGTGGTGACAGTTATTCATTTAATTTGTTTTTTTTTTCGTGCTTGTTCATGATGGTATGATTTGCGGAAACGGTGAAATATACCTTAAAATATATCAGCCTCACGTATACTCTGTCATGTATGTTTGGTTTTGATGTAATATAAAAACTTATTACTTGGAACTTTTCTCACCTTAATTGCTGCTTTAAGAGGTAGATGTTTTGACCCTTTCATCCTTTTTGTCTGTTTGTCTGTCTGTCTTTCTGTCTGCCTTTCCATTAGCATAAAAAAGGCATTTTCACGATAAAGCACACATACACAAAAGTAAAAAAAAAAAAAAAAAAAAAAAAAAAAAAAAAAAAAAAAAAAAAAAAATAAATAATAATAATAATAATAATAATAAATAAATAAAAGCCGGAATAGAGAACGGTAGAAATTCATTCGGAAAATGATTTGCACGTGCACGGATACGGAGTCCATGCTTACGTCCGTCTACATTCGCAATTGCGTATTTGCTCGGTTCTCGCAGCGATCGTGTGTGTTTGTTCGTGCGTCGGCAGAGGCAGAGAAGGTCAGCGGCGCGCGCAAGGACCTCCCCTCAGCTACTGTGCGAATAGCAAGTGACACGAGGTGATCAGTCGCATCTCCGAACCCG